ATTTTGGTAAAGTAAATGCCTGAACCATAAATTTTTCCCATTTTTTTATCACTAAAAAAGTAACGATTTTCACAAACTAAAAATATTTAAAAAAATAAAAGCAAAAGGGGAGGGAGGGGGTCTGTGAACGGGGCAATAACTATCTCGCTAGGCCCTGTCTTAATTGTTTACGATGGTAAGAAAACAAAGATACCAGATAAAATATAAGGGACGAGAATGGCTGTCCTGATGTCGACCCGCCTCGTTGCCATCCGACACCCTGTAAAATATAAGAAAAAGGAAAACAGCCTCTAGCATCAAAACTATGTTTGGGTGTCTAGTGGTTGATTAGAGTATTTCAATACTGAGAATCACCCATTATACTTCGATTATTTTGTAAATGAAATCATTCAAGTCTTTGTAATTATTGGAACCAAACCCAATTCAAATCGTCGATTTCGATTCAGGTTCGATTTTACCCATAATATTTATATATATGTATACATTTGATAAAAAAAATTCATATAAACCCCTTCGATACTTATACATAACATGTTACTACTCGACAAATATTTTTGCAAGGGAAAAAATCTAGTTAAGAAATCTTGAAGAAACTAAGAAATTCAATTACATGACACGAAATAGTGAAAACTAAAAACTATAAAAGAGGAGAAAATTAAAACATCAAAAATTAAATTACAGTTTGAGAGTAAATGATTTTTTTATTAATAAAATCTTATTTGATCCATAAAATGAGGCATGTTGAGCCTATAATCTAATTATGAATAATATTTAAATTCTTATACTTTTAAAACGAACTGACATAAAAATACTAACTAAATACATAACTATATGGCATTAAGAAATTACAGTTCACATATTGAACCCGTTCTTTTTGAGTAAAAAGGAAAAAAAAAAAACAAATTTTAAAAGAGAACCCTGAACTCGAGATGACCAAAAAGATACATAGATGAAGAGAGAGAAAAAATTAGGGGGCCAAACAGAATGTAATAGAATGTAATATAATGGGGGCCAAACAGGGGCTCAATTACATGACACAAAATAGTGAAAACTAAAAACCATAAAAGAGGAGAAAATTAAAACATCAAAAATTAAATTACAGCTTGAGAGTAAATGATTTTTTTATTAATAAAATCTTATTTGATCCATAAAATGAGGCATGTTGAGCCTATAATCTAATTATGAATAATATTTAAATTCTTATACTTTTAAAAAGAGCTGACATAAAAATACTAGCTAAATACATAACTATCTGGCATCAAGAAATTATAGTTCACATATTGAACCCGTTCTTTTTGAGTAAAAAGGAAAAAAAAAACAATTTTTAAAAGAGAACCATAAACTCGAGATGACCAAAAAGATACACCACAACCCAAACTATTAATATATCAAGTTTAATTGCCATATATTATGAAAGAATAAAATTATTACTTAAGTTTGTAAAATAATGCAAGAATTCGATTCATTAACTCATTCCACAATCCTAACTCAAACTTTTTTATGTTAATCTCTAAATTGCAACAATCAAATGTGAAGTGAGAGGCAAAAAAGTATAAGCCAGTCATGATTTCATGAGATTTTTAGGTTTTGTATTTTTTTTTCGAGAATATAAATTGTAAAAAATATAAATTTATATAAAAATAGTTTTTCTCGATTCTAATTCAGAAACCAAGAATCGATCCCGATCCCGATCCCATCGATTCTCAGTTCCAAATCATTTTCTTTGAAACCGAACCGAAGCCTCTTATTTGCTTCGAAAGGTTCGATTTCGATTAAAATATCCGACCTAATGAAACTGTACCCTTTACACGCTATACCCTTCTCTTCCAACCCGCCTCCCGGGCCCCCAAACAATATAAATACGCACAGCACCCTCATAATTCTCCAATCCTGAAAATTACAAAACAAGAAAACCAAAAGGACCGTTTAATTAAGTAAGCAAATTTGTGATGGAGGCGGCTAGGGATGCTGAGTCTCAGTCACAGCCTATACCCTCAGCGGCGGAGCCACCACAGGCAGCGGTGCCAGAGGACCAACAGGGGGAGGATGAGGAAAGTCAGATTTTGATAGCAAAGGCGCAGTCTTTAATGGATAAGATTTGTTCCAACCCCGAGAACCCTAGTCCAAAGGTCCTTCATGCTCTCTCTACGATTCTTGAGACACAAGAATCCAGGTATAACTATTGTTTCACGGGGTACACCGTTGTTTAGAACTATGGGAGTTTGTGTTATATATATTTTGTTGGATTTATTGGTATGTGATGAGGTGCATTGCATGCTACTAGAGATTTTAGCTAGAATTCACTTTTAAAATCGTCTTCTGACAGAATGGGTGCCCAAAGTGCTTATAATTCAGATGTGTTCATTACAGTGTATTCTCTGATGGTATTGATGCAAACTTTTGCTGAATTAATTGAAATAAATAAATTTAAGTTCATGGATAAAAAATTAGGCCCAACATTTCGGGAGAGAACTTTTCGTTTTCACTGTACATGCATTTACCCTGAAATTGGTGATTGTGTTTTTCTTAGGGAAGAGGAATGGATATAACTATATGAGAGATAGCATTTTAGGTGTTATTTATAGTTTTATTGGGCCTATTCTTAAGAAAGGGATGAAGAATTCCTTAGAAACTGGGAATAACTTTGTTATAAATTTTGGGGGTTCTGGAATACGCGAGTGTTTGAAAATAAGGTCTTAGATGATCTTTTATTTTGAGCGTGTTCATTGCATGCTGGAAACTGTATCTTTGACATCGGAATACCTTTTCCTTTAGGGGGAAAAAACTCCTGTCTAAAAAAATAGAATTATGTAATTCTCGTTAATGAAGTCTAGTCTGAAAGTAGATGCATTCTTAATCCGTACTGTTATATTGTTATAATTTATGTGACCTAGACTGCATTTGGTTCAATATAAATGCTTAGTGGATTTCAATTACGATCAATGAATCACAACCATCTCCAGTTAATGGTGGAGTTTTTGGCAGTTGGGTGGTAGGAGTGTCATATACGACTGAAAATCCGATTTGAGGGTTTGATAATTGATAAAATGGAGGTTTTAGCTGCAATGAAGATGTTGTAGTTGAAGCTATCAGGTTCTTGTAGCAAATAGGTATTTGAGTTACATAGCAGAAATGAAATTGAAGTTGAACTGGTTGAAAGCTTTGAGATTCTCGTAGCAAAAGGCATTTGAGGTGTTTTTAATACATGCTTTCTAGCATTGGGTGATTTTGACTATATAATCAACCTTTGATGGAAGGGAAATTTTAACAAATGAAGGATCATGATATTAAAGGTTTTGATTTTTCTCCTGCTTGAGAGCATAGCTTATGCCTTCAATGGAAAGGATTCTGATATCTGGAGGATTTTGTGCATGTTATTAGTTTTTTCATAATCCGTGACTGCTAATATCTATATTAGACGTCCTGACCCACTATTGAATGTCAATTTTATAATGAAATTGGTAAATATACTGTATACTCTTTTACGAAAGAATTAGTTTCACATATAAGTTAATTTAACATTGTTATTTTGACATGTTTAGGTACATGGAAGAAACTGACCAATCCTCATCAAACAATGGTAGGTCTTCTCACAACGTTGGACGACTAGGGAACCTTATACAGGTAAATGATATTTCCTTGTTGACTTTTTCTTTTCATAGACACTACATAACATCCCGACCTAGGCCGTTGCAAACAATCATGCATCTTTAACACTAATAATTTACTGTGAATGAGAAGTCAGATCTGTAGCCAAAATTGAATGTACTCCCAAAATAATTTAGATACTCAATTGGGTTCCCAGTATCCAAAACTCCGTGAATGAGAAGTCAGATCTGTAGCCATTTGCATGTGGATTGATCTAGGCCTATGATGCACCTTGGATACATGTGTTCAATACAACACATGTCCAACATGCCAACACACAATTTTTAAAAAAAGTACAAACACAACACTTCATCTACACGTTGATTAAATTCTTTATAATTTTTCATTTATATATATAGTATAAATTTAGTTTTATACTTGTTATAATTTTTCTTGTTGACATGTTTTAAATATGAGTACCTATTTGTTATTTAATGATAACTTTGAATTAAAAAAATAATATTTTAGATAAACAAAGAAAAATGATCATGGAAGAGTGTCCGAGAAGTATCGATATCCGACACGTGTTAGATACAGACACACCACCTTAGTTAAAATGTCCGTGCTATATAGATTCTATGCTAACCTTAATGTTCCAATTGAACAATGGAATGTTGACTTTTTTATAACTCGTCTTGCAGGATAGTGATGAATTTTTTGAATTGATATCATCGAAGTTTTTAACTGAAGCTAGATATTCAGTACCATTACAAGCAGCTGCCACAAGGCTTCTTTACGATTGCTCACTAACTTGGACGGTACGGTAACTATTACAAATATTGTTGTCTCCATATTTATTAAGTATAAGACTTAGTTTATAGTTGTATTATTATTAGCTTTTTTTTTTTTTTTTTTTGCTGCCATTGTTGTTTGTTATGCCGTTTCCATGTTGATTTACTTCAATATATATAACTGGAATACAGTATCCACATGTATTTGAAGATGATGTGGTAGACAAAATAAAAGGCTGGGTGATGGATGAGACTCACAGGTCTTCTGATGATCATAATAGGAAGCATGAATCAGGGGATAGAAAGACCTCAGACGCTGAAATATTATGCACATACTCTACTGGACTTCTTGCTGTATGTTTGGCTAGGTATAATTACAAAGTCTATCTTTTTTATTTTTCTACTTTTTGTTGTGTTCATATATCTTGTTGTATCGGATGTTTGTAATTTCAGTGGTGGTCAAGTAGTGGAAGACGTACTAATGTCTGGACTGTCGGCCAAGCTTATGCGATTTCTTCGTACTCAGGTTTTGGGTGAGATCAACACAAGTCAAAAAGATGCCATTTCTTTGATCGAGAACAGAAGTGCATCAACCTTGACTTGCTCCAGAGAGGAAAGTAGGGGTAGGATGCGACAACTCCCAGAGAGTTCTCACTTGGATGTACAGAGAATACATGACGGATCATTAGATGATCCTGATAGGGAACATGAGAGAAGCGCCACTGGGCAATCACATGTAGAAAAATATTGTGTTAATGAAGAACCAACTCATAGTATGGCCCCTGAGGTTGATGCTTATAAGGTAGAAGCAGATGTCACGGACAAATGCCTCATTAGAGATTTATGTGATGCAAAAACAAATCCTGGTGGTGGCAAATCCCATGGGGAAGAGCATTTTGATGAAAACGAGAGAGATGACTCTTTCAGACACAGGTTAAATCATGGATTGGTCAAATCAAGAGGAGAAGGCGGGGTTAGTGAAGGAGTATTAGAAAATGAGCAAGCTTTCACCTATCCAAGTTCTGGCAGTAAATCAGGACAGGCTCGGAGCTTCAAGGACAGGAGTAGAACAATAAATCAAGATTTGAAAAAAACTTCAGACATGAAGGTCCTAGATAGAAATCACACTGATGCTTTGCCCCTAGAAAGAGATGATAATGATTACTGCTTCCAAGATTGCAAAGTTGGTTCCAAGGACATTTCTGATCTGGTGAAGAAAGCCATCACAGCTGCTGAAGCTGAAGCCAAAGCAGCCAATGCTCCAGCAGTGGCCATATGGGCAGCTGGTGATTCAGCTGCTGAAGTGGTTAAGAGTGCTGCTTTGGAAGTGAGTATATTTTCAGTTCTTGTTAAAATTGAGGTCACCTTGAGATTGACTTCTTTAGTGTGCTTTATGTGAATTCAGGAATTCAGAAAAACAAATGATGAAGAAGTTGCGGTGTTGGCTGCTTCAAGAGCTGCATCCACTGTTATAGATGCTGCTAATGCAGTTTCATTCTCAAGGTTGGTGTTTAATTATCTACATGAGATTTCCCATGTACAGATTTTCATTGACTAACAATTTAATTGCTATTATTTATTTTGACCATGATTTTCTTGACTTGACCTTGATTCTCATGTTATAGGAGAACAATAAGTGTTGATGGTGATTCTCCAAATTTAAAACCAACAGACCCAGAAACTAATGAAGATATTGGAGAATTCTTCATTCTGGATGGTGATTCTCTCACCATGCTGAGGGAGGAATTATCTATCGAGTGTCTTGGGATTCTTGGGGAGTATGTTGAAGTCCTTGGTCCAGTGCTCCATGAAAAGGGTGTTGATGTGTGTCTTGCACTATTGCAGCGAAGTTTTAAGCTTAAAAAGGCATCAAGCTCTCTGCTGCTTTTGCCTGATATTTTGAAGTTGATCAGTTCTTTGGCAGCTCATCGAAAATTTGCTGCATTATTTGTGGATCGTGGGGGCATGCAGAAGTTGGTTGCTGTCCCCAGAACTACACAAACATGGTTTGGTCTGTCTTCCTGCCTATTCACAATAGGTTCAATTCAGGTAATGTTGTTGCCCATTTCTTTCCCCACAATTTTGTGTCTGTCTGCCTCTGTGATTTTATTACGCGTTTCTGCATATTACATCCATGGAAACTCCTATTAACATACTACTTTTATTTTCTCTAGCCAGTTTTGACTTCACAAGATAATTTTACAGGGAATAATGGAACGTGTTTGTGCCCTTCCATCAAATGTGGTCAACCAGGTTGTTCAGTTGGCTCTTCAACTTTTTGAGTGTCCACAGGATCAAGCAAGGAAAAATGCCGCTTTATTCTTTGCTTCGGCTTTTGTGTTCAGAGCAGTCATTGATGCATTTGATGCACTGGATGGTCTGCAGAAACTACTCAATCTTTTGCATAATGCTGCGTCAGTTAGATCTGGGGTTTCTTCGAGATCATTAAGTAACTCAGGGACACTTCTGAATGATCGAACAGCTGCAGAGGGACTGACCTCTTCAGAGAAGCAGATAGCTTTCCACACATGTGTTGCACTTGGACAATATTTCAGAACACATCTTCTCTTGCTTGTGGATTCACTTCGCCCTAATAAAAACATCCGCAGTGGGGCCCGGAACATTTCAAGTGTTAGGGCAACCTACAAACCTTTCGACATAAGCAATGAGGCAATGGATGCAGTGTTTCGACAAATACAGAAGGACCGGAAACTTGGTCCTGCACTTGTGAGAGCCCGCTGGCCTATTGTTGACAAATTTTTAAGTGCTAATGGTCATATTACAATGTTGGAGTTGTGTCAGGTATGATTCGGCATTTGAAACTGTTATTTGTTCATACATATTGCTGTCATCTGCTGTTCTGAATTTTAGTTTTTCTTTGTAGGCGCCATCTGCTGAACGTTATTTACATGATTTGCTTCAATACACACTGGGTGTGTTGCATATTGTTACCTTAGTGCCTTATAGCCGCAAACTCATCGTAAATGCCACATTAAGTAACGATCGTGTTGGGATTGCCGTCATTTTGGATGCTGTGAATGGGGCTGGTTATGTAGAACCTGAGGTAACCTGTGCAGACTTGATTTGGGTTATTTTTGTAATATTTTTCCCTTTTGTACTAACTTCACAAAATTTTCACCATCAAAATACCAGATTGTTGAGCCGACATTGAATGTGTTAATAAATCTTGTTTGCCCACCACCTTCAATCAGCAATAAACCCAGTGTCTTCACTCAAGGACAGCAACCTTCTATCCAAACTGCAAATGGTCCCACAATCGAGTCTAGGGACAGAAATTCTGAGCGAAATAACCCAGAACAAGTTGTTAGCGTTCCCAGACGGAATGAACCAAGAGAGCTAAATGGGGAACCCGCTATGGTAGATCGAGGTGGCTCATCAGTAGTTTGTACATCATCTGTTGGTAGTACTTCTACAGCTGCTTCTGGGTTAGTGGGAGATCGTAGAATATGTTTAGGGGCTGGAGCAGGATGTGCTGGCCTTGCCGCACAACTGGAACAAGGATATCATCAAGCAAGAGAAGCCGTTCGTGCTAACAATGGTATCAAAGTTCTTATTCAGCTCCTCCAACCACGGATGGTTACATCTCCTGCTGCTCTTGGTTGTCTTCGTGCTCTAACATGCCGAGTTCTTCTTGGTTTAGCCAGAGATGATGCTATTGCACACATATTGACAAAGCTTCAGGTTAGTATTAACTTGATAAATAGTTTATATTATTCATTATGTCGACTATGGATCTGAAGGCTACAGTTCCTCAATGGGTTCTGAACTAATGGTAGTTTATATAATGGATGACAGAAAGTTTCTATCATATTTTTGGTTCAATATTCTGCTTCAGGTAGGAAAAAGGCTATCGGAACTTATTCGAGATTCTGGCAACCAGACTCCTGGCAATGAGCAGAGCAGGTGGCAGCTAGAGCTTGCGCAAGTGACTATTGAGTTGATTGGGGTAAGCAGGACTGCATGATGCTAGATTGTGAATGTGCAACCTGGAATACTCTTGCCACGTTTCTCAGGAATAATTTTACTCACACGTATATGTGCATATGTACTTAGTGATATCTAATGGTTTTCTGTGAAGCATTGTCTTTTAACAATTGTGGAAAAGTGGGATTCAGTCTTCTTGTTGACGTAATAAACAAGCTACAAAAGTTAATTTACAGACCACCTGTTTTTCAAGCATAATGGCATTCCCATATTTACTGCTCTTATTACTACTCTTGCTACTATTGGTATCTTGAAGGTTGTGACTAATTCTGGGCGTGCAAGTACTTTGGCCGCTAGTGATGCCGCTACAACCACTTTGAGACGTATTGAGAGGGCTGCTATAGCTGCAGCTACTCCTATTACATATCATTCCAGGTACTTAGTGATTGATTGTTTCTGAATTCCTGTGGATATAAAGAATAAGCTCCTAGTGCTGTTTTTTCGTTCCTGTCTTTTTGAATATTTGGTTTCATTGACATCCTCAACCGTTTGAATTTCAGGGAACTTCTGCTCCTTGTCCATGAGCACCTACAGGCATCTGGGTTAGCAGATAGTGCAGCCACACTTCTCAAAGAAGCTCAGTTGACGCCTTTACCATCTTTGGCAGCCCCATCATCTCTGGCGCATCATGCTTCTGGACAGGAAGTTTTATCAATACGAGTGCAATGGCCTTCTGGACGTGCTCCTTATGGATTCATGTCTGGCAAACCAATACTTTCTCCCTGTTACAAGGTTTGTAGCTTAAGATATGATTCAGCTGTCTCTTCTTCAAAGAAGAAACCATTGACATTCTCAGCTGTACGTAGTTTCTCAAAACTTCAGCCTGAATTAGAGGATTCCCCAGTACGCTCAAGCAACAAAATAATTGTCTCTACCATGAAATCTTTTGCACCTGCTGACATTGCAGAAATTTCATCAGCATCAGCTGTGAAATTTGGTAGGGATTTGGACACCCAAATTAGAACTCCGATCGTGTTGCCGATGAAACGCAAATCAACAGATTTGAAGGAAACTGGGTTGGTATCCTCAGGAAAACGACTAAACACTGTTGAGCACACACTTAAGTCTCCTGTTATTGCAACACCTAATACTGTCCGTAGAGGTGGTCTACACGCAAATGTGTTTTGTACCCCAATCTCCACTCCAAAAGATCAAAATGGCCGATTGCTACCATGTACTATTGCAGCTTATATTGATGAAAGCCCGTACACCAGTGCTCGCATAGGGCAGAAATGTTCATCCCAACCTGGACTTCTGAACGATCTACAACCCTCTGGCTTAGAAAGGCTTACCTTGGATTCTCTTGTTGTTCAGTATCTGAAGCAACAGCATCGTCAATGCCCAGTGCCTATCACAACTTTACCTCCTCTTTCCCTCATGCATCCACATATTTGTCCAGAACCTAGACGAAGTATTGATTCTCCGCCAAATGTGACAGCACGGCTCAGCACACGTGAATTCAGAAGTATGTATGGTGGAATCCACGGAAGTCGCAAGGATCGTCAATTTGTCTATAGTAGATTTAGACCGTGGCGAACTTGCCGAGATGATGTGTGTTCCCTTTTGACTTGTATAACTTTCCTTGGAGACTCTTCTCAGATTGCTGCTGGAAGACATACTGGGGAGCTGAAAGTTTTTGACTCTAACAGCAACAGTGTGTTGGAGAGTTGTACCGGTCACCAATATCCTTTGACTCTTCTGCAGTCACGATTTTATGGGGAAACTCAGCTGATTCTCTCTTCGAGTGCAAATGATGTGCGATTGTGGGATGCATCTTCCATTTCTGTTGGTCCGAGGCATTCGTTTGATGGATGCAAAGCTGCACAGTTCAGCAGTAATGGTGCCGTATTTGCTGCATTATCATCGGACTCATCCTTGCGTGAGATTCTTTTGTACGACGCCCAGACTTGTCAGTTGGATCTGAAGCTTACAGATACATCTAACAACCTATCTGGTCGTGGTCATGCATATTCCCGAATTCACTTTAGCCCATCAGACTCTATGCTGCTTTGGAACGGCGTTTTGTGGGATCATCGAGGTTCAGTTCCAATACATCGCTTTGATCAATTTACAGATTATGGTGGTGGTGGCTTTCATCCTGCTGGAAATGAGGTAAGGATAACATCACAATATCACATTGTCAATTGTTGACACCAGTCGTACGTTGCATCTATTTGTTTGTCTTGTTTGGACGTACAAGGTACAGTAACTGCATTTTTCATTCTGCTTTTATTATTTTTTAATTTTTGGCCAATTTCTTTTGCAAATGTTTAATATAGGTCATTATAAACTCTGAGGTCTGGGATCTTCGAAACTTTAGGCTTCTCAGAAGTGTGCCTTCCTTGGACCAAACAGTGATAACATTTAATGCTAGTGGTGATGTCATATATGCAATCCTGAGGAGAAATCTGGATGATGTTACTTCAGCATTTCAAACTCGTCGCATGAAACACCCTCTTTTCGCTGCTTTTCGCACTCTGGATGCTGTAAATTACTCTGACATTACCACAATTCCAGTGGACCGTGGTCTTCTCGACTTCGCAATCGAACCAACTGATTCTTTTGTAGGGTTAATTACGATGGATGACCAAGATGAGATGCACTCTTCGGCAAGGGTGTATGAAATTGGTCGACGGAAGCTGACAGATGATGATTCTGATCCTGATGATGCTGATGCTGAGAGCGAAGAGGACGAAGATGATGAACCGTTACTACTACTACTACTACTAATTCTGGAAGTGGATTTTGATGGGGATGGTGATAGTGATGCTGATGATGCGAGCAACGACGATGACAGCTTGAGCGAATTTGATGACGGTGAAGAGGATATGGATTTCATAGTCGATGGTGCTGAATTTGACGGTAATGGAATGATGATTTTGACTGAAGATGATGAGGATGATAGCAATGGGTTCGAATCTTTTAGTAGTGGAGATGAAGAGGAGGATTTGTAAGTATAGTGGGTGATAAGAGAAGTGTGTGGTCTAGTTTCTTAGCCGTGGCTTGATTTGTGAGTTGGGATGATGATGTGGGTAGGGAGAGGGAGGTAGAGGCGGCGCAGGCAGGGCAGGGCGTGGCGTGGCGTGGTAGGAAGAAAAAGATTTTGAGTAATTTTCTTTAAATGGATAGATTGTATGGTAGCAAATTAGCACTGATGAAATTATTTTTCAGTAGTTTCACAAATTTCAGAGGGAGAACAGAAATTTAGGAAAATAGTCAAATTTTGTCATGTAACCTATTGGTCATTTTTATCCATTTATGTTGGCTTCTTGTTGACTGCAATGACATGTTTGTCTTTGCTTAACCTTAAAGAAGCAGCTTCTTTTGGGCTAGCCATGAATGATGGTGTTTAGCAACTGGAAGCACATGTTTTAGGACAGTATAAAGAGCATACTGCAGCTAAAGAGTCACACTGCATAATAAAGACAAACAGCTTCTTTTTATCTTTTAAGTAAAGCCAAACATGCAACATGTCTTCACTGCAGCTCGTTGTGTTGGAGTTTTCTTTAGTTGATTGTTCTTCTCCCATTAGTGTACAGGGATCTCTTGTAGGAGTCAAGGGATTTCAGTTAGCTCGCTAGTGAAGCGGGGAATGCTCGAAATTTGAGTCCTTTCTTTAGATAGTTTTGAACGCTAACCTTAGGATTGAGCCAAGTCAGTGGACTTGCCTTCTTTCACAACCAGGTATGTAACAACTTCTTTTCTTCATCCAAGCAGGAAAGTAAGAAAGGCTAAGAGCCACCAGTGAGAGCTTTCAACAGCCTTTGATGATGATGATGATGATATTCTGGAAGCGGATTTTGATGGGGATGGTGATAGTGATGCTGATGATGCGAGCAACGACGATGACAGCTTGAGCGAATTTGATGACGGTGAAGAGGATATGGATTTCATAGTCGATGGCGCTGAATTTGACGGTAATGGAATGATGGTTTTGACTGAAGATGATGAGGATGATAGCAATGGATTCGAATCTTTTAGTAGTGGAGATGAAGAGGAGGATTTATAAGTATAGTGGGTGATAAGAGAAGTGTGTGGTCTAGTTTCTTAGCCGTGGCTTGATTTGTGAGTTGGGATGATGATGTGGGTAGGGAGAGGGAGGCAGAGGCGGCGCAGGCAGGGCAGGGTGTGGCGTGGTAGGAAGAAAAAGATTTTGAGTAATTTTCTTTAAATGGATAGATTGTATGGTAGCAAATTAGCACTGGTGAAATGAAATTATTTTTCAGTAGTTTCACAAATTTCAGAGGGAGAACAGAAATTTAGGAATTCTTTTACGGTTTGAGAAAATAGTCAAATTTTGTCATGTAACCTATTGGTCATTTTTATCCATTTATGTTGGCTTCTTGTTGACTGCAATGGCATGTTTGTCTTTGCTTAACCTTAAAGAAGCAGCTTCTTTTGGGCTAGCCATGAATGATGGTGTTTAGCAACTGGAAGCACATGTTTTAGGACAGTATAAAGAGCATACTGCAGCTAAAGAGCCACACTGCATAATAAAGACAAACAGCTTCCTTTTATCTTTTAAGTAAAGCCAGACATGCAACATGTCTTCACTGCAGCCCGTTGTGTTGGAGTTTTCTTTAGTTGATTGTTCTTCTCCCATTAGTGTACAGGGATCTCTTGAAGGAGTCAAGGGATTTCAGTTAGCTCGCTAGTGAAGCGGGGAATGCTTGAAATTTGAGTCCTTTCTTTAGATAGTTTTGAACGCTAACCTTAGGATCGAGCCAAGTCAGTGGACTTGCCTTCTTTTACAACCAGGTATGTAATAGCTTCTTTTCTTCATCCAAGCACTAAAGCAGGAAAGTAAGAAAGGCTAAGAGCCACCACACCAGTGAGAGCTTTCAACAGCCTATGACACATTTTCATGCCACTGTTATTGTAATCACTATTAGCATCACGATTGTTAGAAGCAAGTAGGGCAATAGTAGACTGATCTTAACCTTGAAAGCTGCTTTTTCAAGTTTATTAGCGGAATTTCGAAGTTTTTGTCACGGTGTCTTGTGAAGAAGCCTTCCTTTTGGCCTTTTTCTTGATCAAGAAAACGAGGTAAAGGCATTTCTAGTGAGCCTTTAGCATAGTTCGTTGAACGCCCCATTATGCAAACTAGTCGCCAAATAGTCCTATTTACTTCGGTTAAAACCCCTCATTATTCTAATGCGCAAATCGCAATGCATGTGGCATCGAACTTGTCACAAGATAAGTGGTACTTTTGTTTGATAAGGTGAATTTCATGATGTAGTTAACTTTAGTTTAAAACTTGTGGTTACGTGCCCTTGAACTCGTCACAAGAAAAGTGTTACATTTTTCATATGAAAGTAATTTGATAGAAATTTATAACACAATATTATTTATCAAAATCTGAAAATTTTCAAAAAAATCTTTTTATTTTTTTGGTACATAGTAAGGTACTATGTTGCCTTGAAGTTCATCGAAGATAAGAAAACATGAATTACAGACAAGAAGCTGTAAATTCACTACACCTAGTTTCCAACCTAACGGACCATAACACTGGAATATAATAGTTTCTATGAACAAGAAAAATGAGAAACAGCTCATTTTTGCTAAAGATTAACTTATTTACATAATCTTACGTGTTTAAGTTACTTCAATATTCAATCAACTAACACTTTTAATTCTTGGCATTTATTTTGAAATCATTAACCAACTCAAACATTCATTCGATTTCAATTTCTTTTGTTGCGTTATAAATTGAGTTATCGATCCGGGCATGAATTGGTGAGTTTCATGCTTAACCGATGGGGATGAGCATTTTTACTCGGAACCAACCAACCTGAATCAGAATTAAACGAACTAGCAGGTTTGGTGCAATTCTCGTTGAAATCGGTTTGATTTTAAGTCTAGAATTGAGAATCGAACTGTTTTAGTAAGCTTCTTGGTTCTAGCTACATAAACAAATCTTGATACCATTCCAAGAATATTTTTCTATATACTCTCGATAAATCGCAAATAATATAGATTGACATGTATTCAGTATAATTGAAAGTTCTATTGTTTAAAATATAAAGTTTGAAAGTAAAAATAATAATAACAATAATAATAATAATTATGGTAGTTTATACTTTAAAATTTATGAATAATACTAAGTGTATATTCCATGGTTCACATCTTGTTGTACATTGTGTGAGAATTCAAAAAGTATTGGGCGAAAAAGTGTGTTTTTGTTTCAAAAATTGTTCAATCATGTGTTGCCGCGTGACACAATGTCAAAAAATAATGTAAAGAAAGATGTACATATAACATGATTAAAAATTTATTTATGAAATATATTGGACCAGAATCAATGGTTAGGGATCGAACCGGACCAAAACTGACAATGATGTTATTTTCATAATTCTCAATGAAAATAGATTCGATCTCGATTTTCAAGATAACAAACCGAACTACTCGATGTCCATCCCTATTAATTAGTGAGTGAACAAGTTGGATGATTTTTAGAAGAGTTTAATGAAGTTGTAACTTTTTTATTGATAAAAACAAGTGTGAATGAATTATTTAAGACGTAATCAAGTTGTAAAAGTTTTATAGCTGAAAACAAGTATGAATAAATTATATAATAAAGCTATATGTACACAATTTTTTACACAATGTTTTACACCACCCTCACATAGAGGGGGGCCCACACATAATAAAATAATCGTGGATCCCCCTCCATATGAGGGGAGTGTAAAACATTGTGTAAAAAATTGTGTGTATACATATCACCACTCTAAATTATAAGTCTTTAACATACTGTTTTCAATAAACCTTTATAATAATTTGGAGGAGAAAATTGGATAATATTAATAGTCATAAATATTTAAATATTTTAGACCAACTGTTGAAATATATTATAGAATTCCTCTTTCAAGAAAATACAATTTTTGAAGAATACGTGGTTAAAAAAAAAACAGTTATAAATCCACATACAAAATTATTTTTCAGTGAGAATATGTTGTAGAAAATTAATTTGAGAAAAAAAAAAAAGGGTTTTAATGTATATGTACCAAACAAGGACTAAATAAAATAAAATAACAAATGGTGGTGTAATCTTTCCTTTCATCCACAAGGATATTTTCAATAAAAAAAATATATACTCCCTTCATCCCATTTATATAGGCTGATTTTGTTTTTCACACGAATTAAGAAATCTTAATTAATGTTATAAAAAAACAATTTTTGCCGAAAACATTTCTAGTTTACCCTTATTTAAGTATCAACAACTAGTAGTAAATTATTGTTGCAAGTAGTAAAGAAATTGAATAATTTAACTTTCAAGTAGGTATTTTTATATTTGTACAATTTCGTGGGAAAATTGATTATAATTAACCAAATTAAATAAGGGTGTATTAGTAAATGAACAAAACAAAATATTCTTAATAAAAAAACACGACTATATAATTAGGACTAGAAATTAAGGAAAGTAAACCTATATAAATAGGACAGATAGAGTATTTTTTTGTTTTGCCGACAAAAGCAATAAAACTGGTCAACACAATGACGGTAAACATCACAATAGGTAAATTTTAGGATGGTCGTACATCTTTTCCATTGTCGTGTTCAATTCGTTGGGTTCAACATACAAAAACACGTCTAAGACTCTTCAACCGAAAAGATGGTGATTATAAACCCTAGCAAATGGATCCTCTTTATTTATTTTGAAGTGTAGAACAAGTAGTCTACCACACACAAATTAAAAATAAATCTTAGTAAATAATTAATTGTAATAATTGAAAAAGGCCTCCCAACTAATACACAGAGTCGTCGATGAAGTCTTCGTTATATAACAAATTGAATAAAATTCAGACAGTGTGCATACAATTTGTGCTCTTGAAGATATTTCGTATAATAGTAATTTTTGTGCTTTTATATAATTAATTTTTAACCAAATGTGCACGAAAATTTAGTTTAATAGTAGAGGATAACTGGAATATATAATATATATTAAATATGTATGCATCTAGCATGGATGATTCGATAACAGTTTCTTCTTTGATTGTTCATATGTTGACTTGACAACTAAGGAATAGAAAAAACGCGACTTAACATGTCACGATATGCAAAAGTAAGACACGCAATATTGAGGGAACGTTGTCTAAAATATTATAATTTATCTTTAAAACCCTATTTAAACTTTGAATGATTAAACCGTAAAATTATGTTAAGTTGAAACGCACAACGATTCTTCGAAGTTTTTGAAGTGCTTTGAGAGTTTAACCTAACTCGATCATACTAGAAAATCGAAAATTACTGCAGTGGTGCCAGCCCAATTTTTAAAATGTAAATAATCAATTATGTTCACATTAGTATTACATAATGGACAAAATAAAGAGACTGGAAAAATCAAACTGTGGACTAAATTAAAGTGAAGTGTATGACAAGTAGGCTACCAATCTGTGGTCATCTTCAAAGCAGCAAGAACTATCTCCTCCACTCCGCCCGCTCTCTCCCCTCCACCACTTGGATAGAACTCCCAATTAAATTGAATAATAGTTTGAGGTATTCAACATTGTTACAAAACGAGGATTAATTACGTCAACGGCTAATAAAGTTATTATCTTAAAGTAATAGTCATTCAAGTTTCTAACTATTATACTAATGCTCACAAATTTGCGTGACAACCTATTTCCTAGTTGGGTTTCTCTATAATACAAAATCAATCTTTTACTGTAGCTCTGTTTGATTCTTATTGTTTTAAAATTCATTTTCAAATCACACCTTCTTATAATAAAATATTTTGCATGAAAATCCAAAATATTTTCCTACTTTTTAATAGCATGTTCTCCAAAAATTAACTATTACAAAACTCATTTTGATGAAACAACGGACATCAAATAGAGAGTAGATGTGGTTACTAGCCGTGTCCGTGGCGCAAGTCTTCACCTAGTCTTCAACAACATACACTTGAATGCTCTGATGCAACTATTACAAGTACATAGTTAACTACTTTCAAAACATGTTTAATGAGAGGATGTCTAAATTAAGGCACACACAATATGGAACTCAAAACTAGTTGTTACAAAGTAAATGGTTTCTCTTAAATCCTAAAACTGACATGCTGAACTATGCACAAATCATGTCATTGCAAATTTGACATGATCACACACAGATGCACACAAAAATAAAGATAGATTTCCTTCAAGAACAAGTATATATCCTCTTTTACATGTGAGTGCCCTAATTTAGGCTTCTAGATTGGTTATATTACAGTCTTTTCAATGAACATAATCAACATATAGAGCCAAGATTTATATAGTTTAGACAGTAGACTATTTATGAATTGTGAATACCTTGACTAAACAAAATTAAACTAAAAGGTTGGCCTGACTAACAAGCGATTAAATCGGTTATTAGGTTTTTCGGCCGATACTCACATTACTTGAAAATCGGATTTTCACGATAGCACTTTCCACAACAGCTGCTACAAAAATACGTACAAGCATTGTCCAATCGCCTCGATAAGTATTAGCCTCTCTTAGACCAAACTACTACCTTAAAATTGAGTTTACTGAAATCAGAAGTTCTCTATACAACTTGTTTAATATTGTTTGTTATTCCCTCTTTCATACATCAAAAATCAATACACGCAATGGAACTATATACAGTTGAGTGATAGACGAAATATTTGATCTCTTAACGGCATAATTATGGTAAAAGTATGCCGGTAAGATCTGTCCACGAAAAAGACATATATAGTAGAATCGTTATACGTGACACTAAATATCATACATATGCAAGTTGATGACCACAAGTTACCGGGATTCATCTTGCAGACTTATTATTTGAAGTGTTGGACAAGTTAAAAAGAATGATAGCTACGAATCTTGTATTTGACAGTTCTTGATCATCAAAAGCTCCTCTTGTAATAATATTAATAAATTCAAGATTAATTGTTGCAAGGTTGTAACGGCTCCACTACTGATAGGAAATCACTAAAATACAGATGAAGATGAACCCTAGAAATGTAAAAAAATCCTGTATGTATATTGGCAACAAGAAAAGTGGATTTAAAAAGAATTAGTTATTTAACATCCCATGAGAAAACATCCTTAGCCAATTTTGATGTTTTTGCTTTTAGACTTTTGTTAATCGATTTACAATTTTATATTCAACTTCTGTAGCAAGATTTTCTGTCGTAAATATCCTATGTATGTAAATTAACCAGAATTACAGTGACATTGTGTTTATAAATTCAACAACCGACTAAAGTCTTGTTCATTATAAATTTGGGGTCGGTTTTACCAAAAAAAATGAAAAATCATGGATTTCGCTAGAGACGTGCACTGGTATTGTTTAGCATGACGACAATGAAGCAGAACTAGGTTTTAGCTTCAAAATGTATAGGCACGTGTTTTGAGTTTTCTTTCGATTAACTAAGAGAAATAATTTATAAATAAAAATAATTAAAAGTTGACGGATTAGGTGATAAATAATGAAATTATCTGCTTGGACCTCTGAAACATGATTTCTATATATGTTTCATTCTAATTAGGTCACAACTAATAGCAATACTAATTAATTAGTTAAGGAACAATATATAAAATTTCTTTTTCTTTATCGTTTCTTATTTTTCGATAAGAACCCAATTGCAATAACATTAAACTTGGTGTTGAGTCAATATATACAAATTGAACGCTGGTGACCTACTTGCTCTGTCTCATAAGTTGAGAATCCGATCTACAATTTTTTCCAAATTAATTCGAAAATATATTTGAAATTTCTTTCAATAAATAGGATTGTAACTAAATTATTAAACACTGAATTAAATAGTACGGTCCAATTTTCCAAATTTGAAAAAATATATGTAGAAGGGTCAATCCCAAATTAAGTCCCTGTTTGGTTGTGATTAAAATCAGATTTTTAGTAAATTTTGATAGAAGTGGATGAAATATGTAGCTAAAAAGTTTATGGAACTCGTAAAATATATGATTAAAGTTAATTATTAACGTTGACCATTTCTTTCAAACATCGGCTAAATCACGTAGCCCTATAACCAATAACATTCTCAAGTCTGAACACAATGGACGATTACGTGTGGTTGTCTACAATCTATATAGAAAACTACGTGAGCAAAATAATTATTAGGGTTTTCATTATAATTAATATGGAGCTGTTGTTGTTTCTGTATAAGAATTATTATATTATGAACATGCACGTTTAACTTTGATTGATGCTACCTAAAATACCCTACTCCTGTATATGACTTTGAATCATTCTTAATTATAATTGTTGGTTTATGGTTCTAAAAGTTTTGATTTAATTTGAGGCAAGAATTGGATAGTGCATTCTTTAGAAAGTACGTATGCAACAATCTACTTTCTAGAAAATTAAATTTTGTAAGTAAATTGAAAATTTTAAAACTATGTTTGACAACGAAGATGCTTCGACGTAGCTTTCACTACTTTTAAGCTCAGTCAAGACGCATTTTCGTTGCATTGTTAGAAAAATTAATCGAATTCTAGGCGAAAATCTTTTTGTTTTTGCACGAAAATATCAGTAAATTTGTCTGCTACAATAATCAAAATTGACAAATTTTGTAGCCTAAAAACTAGGAACTTATTACGAAGTTCTTAGCATTTTGTAGACTCGCACAGGCATTAACAAGTGTTTACAACATTTCATGTTTTTTTCGAGAAAAAAAAAATCATATCTGAAAAAAAATATAAATAAAATTTAGAAATATCACTCTCTCTTATATGTGCAATGCTGTCATTTACACAAGAAAAATTATTTCTTGATAGACTTTTCAAAACCCTAAATAGCTTCCAAGAAATGGTCAAGAACCGTGTATCTTAAGTTCCATAGTAGGTAAGAGTTTCAAAATTACATTAATCCTCCTCATTCCCTTCTTACCATTTAAATTCTCAATTTCTTGCTCACAACAAGAAAACACAAATCCATTTTAATTTCATCTTTTCGTGTTTGTGAATCATGTAAAATTTACACTCTCAAAAGCCCTTTAATCCTTCATGCAAGTAAGCGAATTTTCTCATGTCCTTCGAGAAGAAATATAAGTATTAATTGAGATTATTGCTTAAGTTTTTGTTCTCTTTTTCCAAATCTGTTCTCGTAGTTTACAAAATTTTTCCTCCCTTCATTTCAGCAAGCTTTTGAGAATTCTATGGTTTTGTTTTTTACAAGTCAAATTCTTGGAGTGTTTAGCATTTAGTAACGTTAGAAAATACCAAATTTAACAAGAAAACAAGTCGGAAACTAAGTAGGTAGCAATGGAAGGATCAAGAGAAATGAAAGAGGAAACTATGCCACCGGGGTTTCGATTTCACCCTACAGATGAAGAACTCATCACATATTATCTGGTAAATAAGATCTCAGATGCAAATTTTACAGGAAAAGCCGTTGCAGATGTTGATCTCAACAAGTGCGAGCCGTGGGATCTTCCAGGTATATTTGTGACCTTAATTCTTGCTACTATGGCAAATATTCATACATAAAAATTGTATTTATTTTTTGTTGTTATATAGCTAGGGTTTAGGAGCATAAAGTTAGGGTTTCTTAAAGATGAAAATAATTAATTAATTTTCTTGATGATTCTTATGGACAAATCTTCTGTTTTCATGAGATATATAGATCATAGCAAATAGAGAGAACTGATGAAATAGAAGGCTAATTATTTTCATATTATGTAAATTTTATCTTATAGCTTCATTAATTTGGAGTCCTAGATATTTAGCATGTTTTGACAAAGACAATAACTTGTTATCGTTAATTTGTACTAAGGTTTTCCAACATTTTTTTTTTTTTGGTACAACTTTCTATTAGTCAACAATATTGTTATTTCTTGCAATACTGATTTAACAAAGATTTGTAATTTCTCAACAAACTTAAAAATCTCTTGTCTATTTTCAATTCACTTTTTTTTTTTTTTTGTCTGTTTTCTTGGGGATTAGGGAAGGCAAAGATGGGAGAAAAAGAATGGTATTTTTTCAACCTCCGTGATCGAAAATATCCAACCGGAGTAAGAACTAATCGTGCCACAAATACTGGATACTGGAAGACCACTGGGAAAGACAAGGAGATCTTTAACAGCAACACCTCCGAGTTAGTTGGGATGAAGAAAACTTTAGTTTTCTACAGAGGAAGAGCTCCTAGAGGAGAGAAATCGAACTGGGTCATGCATGAATACCGTATTCATTCCAAATCGGCGTATAGAACAAGCAAGGTACATAGTTTATAAACTGTTTTTTCCTTGCCTAACAAATTATTTTAGTGAAAGTCGGCACAAAGTACGTTTGTCTTGTATATTTTTGGCGTTTGTATTTTGGAGGTTCGACTAATTTACCTTTCCTCTAGTATATATTTTCGAATTTCCTAATTAAATCTTCGTAATTGTATTTCTTCTAAACTTTCACTATGATTTTGCACTCCCTGATCTCATAGAAGTATTTATGTTCGATGAAAAATTGTTTTGAATAAAAATAATGATGAATTTATATAATTATTTTTCGTTAAAAGGGAAAAAGAATTATTATAGAATATGTATCCTGATGAATGACTAAACACGGTTTTTTTTTTTTTTTATATCTTAAATTATTATATAGGGTTTCATTAACTTTTACAATAAATTCCTCATTGTTACACCTAATTAATCTTAAGTAAGTAATATACTCTACAACAAGATATGTCTTAAACCTTTTCTTAAGAATGCTATAATTTTGATCTCAATAGTAGTACTTTGAAAAGATTGGACTCAAAAATTAGTTTAAATTTAGAAAATATCATATAGAATGATGAAGATATGTATAATTAGATTTTGAATACCAAATTGAAATACTTCTTCATATTTAAGCTTCAAATGAAAACTTATGGTGTGTTTGATTGCATTTATTTCCCATGAAAAATGTCAGTTTTTCATCCAAATTTTATTTTGAAGTGTTTGGTTGTTATTTTTTTCCATGGAAAATATTTTTCAACTTTTAGAAATATACCTAATTTTATTTTTTTAAGGAAAACATTTTCTTTGTAGGAGCAGGTTAAAGTTTTCCTCAAAATAAGGAAAATATTTTCTTTTCTATGATATATTAATTTTTCATGTTAATCAAACACACTCTTACAGTTTGTGATCTATATTTTTAAAGTTACCATTCGATTGGGGCGTGGACTCTTACCGGTTTAATGAAAAACAAAGTTAAAAGTACCCAAATTTCCAATATATAATTTTCATATTTGTGTTAAGTTATAGGTATCATCTTTTAATTTGACAATAATTAGTCTATTAATTAATTTTTACATGAACTGGAAAATTTTATTTAACACTTGTCACATAACATAGAGGTGAAAAACATTAAAAATTATTGCTAAATATTGTATCATTTCTTGTCCTGACCTAATTTTTTTCAGCAAGATGAATGGGTAGTATGCCGTGTGTTCCAGAAAAGTGCTGCAGGAAAAAAGTACCCTTCAAACCATTCAAGAGCTGTGAATCCCTACACTTATAATAATCTCGATTTAAGCCAAATTTCCATGTCCACACAAATGATCCAGCCTGATAATTTCCAGTTTCCTGTGGGACGAAACTATATGATGCCAGCCGAACTGCAAGAATATAATAAAGTTTTCAGATCAGGTGGCTCAACTAGCATGAACGTACAAATCCCACAACATGTTAACTACACCGTGGGCAGTGGAGGAGGAGGAGGAGGAGAAGCAGGCATTTTCACCATTTCTGGATTGCATCTGAACCTCGGTGGTGGTGGAGCCCTGACCCAGCCAACCTTCATGAGACCACCGCCACCTCAGCCACCTCCTCCGGTGCCGGCGATGAACCCACAAGATTTGAACTCATCAATGCTGACTGATGCTGCAGGCTATGGAGGGGACATGAATAATGCAAATGCAATGAATAACAGGTTTATGGACATGGAAAATTGTGCTGATTTAGATCACTACTGGCCTACATATTAATTTACAGGATGCATGCATGAACATTAGAGGATTTGATGAAAATTTCATGGAATCTCAATTGTATGATAAATTTGTTTAAATAGGGAGAATTTGAACTAGTTTTGTTTCTGCTGCTGCTGTTTGCTTGTACTTTTGGATAATATTAATGTTCATGCAGCCACTGGATATTGAAGGTACAACTCCAGGGCCGGTATTTGCTAGACTTAATTTTATTAGCTATAGATAGGAATTGCTATCTTTCAAGAAGTTCTAAAATTATCAGATAGATTGTGTTGGTGTCGTTTTCTAATTGATAGAAACTATGAGAATATTCTCTCAATGAGAACCTATTGTGTGGGAGTGTCTTCGGCGATGACATCCTTCTGACACTCAAGTTAAAAACAGCTTATTGTAGGAAAATCGAAGGTATAGTGACGGGTTTTTTTACGTGAGTGAATATTAGGTTTGGTCGGCCAGCCTTCATGTTGGGAAGAAGGAAAATGATTGGATAGAGGAATTCCTAGAGGACAAAGCTTAGCTCAAGTGATTGGAGCGAAGTCTTATCAGGTCATTGACATGGGTTTGAACCTCTTCTAAAGGTAAGGATGAAATAAAAAAAACAGAGGAACTTGTGAACATTGACGATCTCAGATTCTCATGTGCCGATATCAATGGTAACTCATTAATTCGATGAATCATTTTTTTGAAAATAAAGAAAACTATATAAGCTTGTAATCTCGCTTAACAAATTTATATTGGGGTTTGTTGGAAATTGGTTTTGAAGATTGAAAAGTTGGTTAAGTGTCAAAACCAAAAATTTGGAAAAAGTGACTTTCGTGTCAATTTCGGCCAAATATTCGGACTTGATCCGATGGTCAAATTACAAAAGTAAATAGACCAACTTGTTCTACTCGTCGAGTAGATCGTCGGGGTATATTTGGAATCTCAAAACCAATTCCGAATGAATGATAAATTACGGTCCAAAGTTAGGAAGAAAATAGAGGAAGTTATTTGGAAAATTGACTAAGATTGTTGTTCGAGCGATAGGCCAACGAAAAGTCACTGTTTTTATCGCTAGACAGAGGCAATGGCGACAGGCTAGTGACAGCAAATGGTGCGACCTTTGGCGAGAGTTGTTGAGTTTGGGGCGTGGCATTTCATTCACAACCCCTCATCCTCTATATATAAGACCTCTTGGACGTCCATTTTGCATCGCATATCATATTTGCATTGAGCATTGTATTAAAACTCTTTCAAATCACTTCCAAATTGATTCAAACAGTTTTCTTCTTTGTAGAGAGAAGCTCCGTCAAAAGTTCGTCGTAACTTGTGGTTTGAAGTACTTCTACTACAAGTTAAATCTCTCGTATCTTGGGAGACAAGTACCGTGAACCGTGAGCACCGTTGTGGGGCAATTTTTTCTTAAGGAAAGAGTAAAAATCACTTACCTCGGATTGTTCTTCTTCTTCACTTCTTTATTTTTTGTTTTTCATTTGTAGTTTATATACTACATTTTCAATCCTTATTACATAGTTAAGTCAAACTCCTGTTGATTAAACTTTGCTTTTTGTTTATTTAATATACAACAACCCTTTCACCCGCACTTATACTTAGCCCACGTCACCAACAATCTTAAGACAAAATTGTGTCTGTGGTTGTTGTTTTCTTTTTTCTTCATCTTTGGAATACACATTTGTGTGATATTCCATTTTTTTGATTTATTTGCGTTAAACTTCTGTTTGTATAACAGAAATCGCCACCATTGAGGCTACTTCGAGTCAAAATGGTTCAAACAATGTGGTTCCACCATTGGCTATACCATTTCAAAATACTGCAATCCCGCATGGGAAAAAATGGAAAAAGTTTGGAGGCATGGACTTCAAGAAATGGCAATAAAAGATGTTCTATCTTACCACTCTAAACTTGGCAAAGTTTCTGAAGGAAACAGCACCGACGGTACAAGAATGAGACAATAATCTTGAATCAGTTATTTTTTATTATATCTTTGGATGCATGGAAGCACTCGGACTTTCTATGCAAAAATATATTCTGAATGGAATTGGACAATACACTATATGGAGTATATAGTTCGAAGAATTCGACCAAGGAACTGTGGGATTCTTTGGAGAAGAAATACAAGATCGAGGTTGCCAGAACTAAGAAGTTCATAGTCGGCAAATTTTTGGACTACAAGATGGTGGATTCCAAAACGGTGATTAGTCAAGTGCAAGAACTTCAAGTTTTACTACATGACATCCATGCCGATACGATGGAATTGAGCGATCTTTCCAAGTTACTGCCATCATCGAAAAGCTTCCTCCTATGTTGAGAGACATAAAAAACTCCCTCAAGCATAAACAGAAGAAAATGAATTTGGAAGAGTTGATTGTTCGCTTGAGGATCGAAGAAGACAATAGAAAATCTAATAGAAGGCCTATTGTCCAATTTGGAGCAAACTTTGTTGAAACCAACTCGAAGGTCGTCAACAAGAAGCGAAAGTTCTCCGGTGAGGCACCACGAAGAGACAACTCCAAGAAGGCCAAAACGTTCAAAGGGAACTGCTACAACTGTGGAAACATCGGACATCGCTTAAGCAAACGTCAGAAACCAAAGAAGAATGCACATGCCAACATGATTGAAAAGACACCCTTTCTGAAGGGATGCAGGAGATAAATTTATCTGCAGTTGTTTCTGAGTATAACCACGTTGGAAGCTTAAGAGAATGGTGGGTTGACACCGGTGCTACCTATCATGTATGTGCAGATAGGATCATGTTCTCTAACTATCAAGAACTGAACGGGGAACAACTTTATATGGAGAACTCTGAAAGTTCCAAGGGTGAAGGACAAGACAAAGTCACTTTGAAGATGACATCCGGGAAAAAGCTCGTCTTAAACAATGTCCTACATGTGCCGAACATACGAAAGAATCTAGTGTCTGGGTCTCTACTTAGTAAAAATAGCTTTAAACTTTTATTTGTATCCGATAAATTTGTACTCACTAAGAATGAGATGTATGTAGGAAAGGGATACATGTGTGTTGGAATGTTCAAAATGAAGGCAAAGCATTATGAATAAAACTTTAAATTCCGTTTATATGCTTAAATTGTCTTGTTTGTGGCATAGTCAATTAGGATATGCGAATTATAAATCTTAGTGCAAACTTATGAATCAAAGTTTTATTCTGACGCTTAAGATTGATCATAATCATAATGCGAAGTGTGTGTCAAAGCAAAATTGGCTAAAACATCATTCCACTCGCTTCAAAGGAACACGACACCTTTAGAACTAATACATAGTGACATTTGTGATTTGAAATATGTTCAAACTAAAGGTGGTAAGAAATACTTTGTTACTTTCATTGATGATTGTACAAAGTATTATTATGTCTTTCTTTTAAGAAGTAAAGACAAGGCGTTGGATATCTTTAAGCATTATAAGGTAGAAGTTGAAACTCAACTTGGTAAACGAATAAAGAATATTATCAGTGATAGATTAGGTGAATACGGGGCACCGTTTGAAGAATTCGGTTCCGAACATAGAATTATTCATCAAACAATGGTACTTTACTTTCCTCAATCGAATGGTATTACTGAAAGCAAAAATCGAACTCTCAAAGAGATGATGAATGCAATGTTGCTAAGTTTGGGCTTACCACATAACTTGTGGGGAAGCTATTCTAACAGCAAATAGTTTTCTTAATTGGATAGCCCTCAAGACTATGGAAGAGACTCCATATGAATTATGGAAAGGTCATCCTCCGTCCTACGAACACTTGAAAGTGTGGGTGTGTTTGGCTAAGGTTGAAGTACCTAGGCCTAAGCAAGTGAAGATTGGTCCTAAAATGATTGATTACATATTTATTAGATACGCCAATAATAGTAGTACATATTGATTCCTTGTACACAAATCTAAAATTCAAGATGTACATGAGGGAACCATAATTGAATCATGAAATGCGTCATTTTTCGAGAATGTGTTTCCTTGTAAAGAAAAGGAAACTACAAGTTCAAACAAAAGAACTTATGATACTATGAATGGTACTTCATATGAGGAAGAACCAAGGCATAGTAAAAAGGCAAGAATATCTACTTCATTTGGCCTAGATTTTCTAACCTACATGGTAGAAAATTATCTAAAAACTTTCGATGAAGCCCTATCTACACCGGAAGCACCGCATTGAAAAGAAGCTATCAATAGTGAAATAGATTCGATAATGCAAAACCATACTTGGGAGTTGGTTGATTTATCTCTCGGAAATACGCTTTTAGGGTGTAAATGGATTTTTAAGAAGAAACTTAAACTTGATGGATCCATTGACAAATACAAGACTAGGTTGGTTGCCAAAGGATATAAGCAAAAAGAAGGACTTGATTTCTTTGATACCTACTTACCTGTGACTAGAATCACTTCGATGAGGTTGATAATTGTGATTGCAGCAGTACACAACCTTAGATTCATCAAATGGATGTGAAAATGACATTCCTGAATGGTGAGTTAAAAGAGGAGATATACATGGAACAACTCGAAGGGTTCGTCTCTCTTAATCACAAACACAATGTTTGTAAACTTGTTAAATCTTTGTATGGATTAAAACAAGCTCCTAAACAATGGCACCAAAAGTTTGACAAAACGATGTTGTCAAACGGATTTAAGATAAACGAGTGTGATAAGTTTGTATATATAAAACATACACCAAATGCCTATGTGATTGTGTATCTATATGTAGACGATATGTTGATAATGACAAATAGTCACTAACTAACGCTAAACACCAAGAGAATGCTAACGAAGGATTTTGATATGAAAGATATGGGTGTTGCTAATGTGATACTCGGGATTAAGATCTCTAGAACACCGAAAGAAATCATACTTTCCCAATCTCATTACATTGAGAGTGTACTGAAGAAGTATGATATACTTGAGGAAAGTTCTGTAAAAATCATTATTGACTCAAGTTTACACTTAGTCAAAAATATGGGTGAATGTGCGTCACAACTAAAGTATTCACAAGTTATAGAC